CATGCGTCACTACACAGTTTACTGCAGTACTACGCACCTGAGTAGCTTCACTGTACTGTAAGCCAAGCTTCTTGACCTGCTCTGTTTACCAGTTCACACTGGAGGATGTGCAAACCGAGAACAATACTCCGAAGTAATTTCATAGGGAGCCTGCCCACTGGTGTTGGCAGTGTATGTACGTAGTGGTAAAACATTAAATTTCCAAAATGTTTTGCAGACATTCACAAGTCCATTGAGGTGGGTAGGCCGTTCCTACACTGAGTGACAATTTTTTTCTGTTTCAGTCCAGACCAAGTTGTAGGGGAAGGGCACAGATATGTCCCCATAACATTTGGGGTCCTCATAGCATCTATGTTTCAATGCGCCTGTAGTCCCCACAATGACAGAATAAGTATGTGCGTCTTTGTATGTGCTGAACTTTGCCACTGTACATGACCTTTGTTGTAGTAAATAGAGGCTTTGCATGGTAGCCATCTTGAAGGGCAGTCTGTTTGTTTTATAGGGATACTTCCTTTGTGCATACCCTGTGGAAACAAAAGCATTGGCCTGCAAGATGGCAACTGTGCAAAACCTCTGCATTGCTCTGCCAGGGCCTGAGGTATCCCACTTTGTATAAAAAATGGCTCTGATGTCTTGCCTACGATAGTGCTGGAGTGCCTTCCAGTATACATTTTCAGAGAGTGAAGTATATTTTTTCCAAGTTTGTTTAAACTTCATTTATACAATATATTTTTCCTGAGTTCATTTGTTTGACTTATGTATTCTCCAGTTTCTTCCTATAAGATCCATAGATAGAAACATTGTTTGTTTTTCTGGGAACAAATTGGTTTTTTACGAGATATATTTTTCAAAGTGCATTTTTAGGATTTTTTTTAATGAGTAATATTTTTTGGTGAGAAATAATCCAAACCTGACAATGTATATCTCCTGAAAATTAACTTGGAAAAAAGATATCTCCCATAAAATCAAAGTTCATGAAAAAAATATCTCGCAAAAATGATTTGTTACCAAAAATAGAAACAATTTTT